AGAAGAATTCCAATTGCTGACTTTCCACTTTTCAACTCAGGAGATCACCCTCGTATCATTCTGCATTACATTGAAATTTTCAAAGAAAGTGGAACTCCAATTGATCCTTCCTGGCTTCAAGGTAGAAATGAAGCAGCTCCAGATGTTGTCTTCCAGCAGCCAATGAAAAGGAAAGCAGTTGAAGGACCCTCTGCTAGACCCCAGAAGAAGAAGAAGAAATCAGGTACACCTTCTGAGACTATTTCTGTTTATGATTCTGTACATATATCTACATCTGCTGAACCTCAAACATTAGGTGACGTAGATGTAGACATAGATTTAATCATTCCCTATGAACCTCTTTCTACAAAACCTCTAATAAATCAAGTTTTATCAGACTTAAGAGATTTTAACTCTGATGACTCTCTTGAAACCCAAACACAACCATCTCAAACACAAATCTCACAAAATAATCCCGCTGAAAACTTTTCTCAAACACCTCCCAGACCTTTATCACCAAGACCTTCTGAATGGTATGATGGCTCTTGGAGACTACCTGGAATAAACGTACCTCTATCCATGCAAAATCCACCTTTCACCCTACCCTCTGAGAATATCTTTGCTCTGAACAGAACTCAACCACAAAATCCTACCCCCTCTGCTGAAAACACCATCATCATTTCTCCTGACATCACACCACCCATATCTCCAGAACTTACAACACCTAACTCACCAACGCTTTCACCTCCTCAATCTCCAGAATATACCCTCAATCCATCTCATGAACCATCTGAAACTCTTGAACCATCAGCAACACCTGAACCATCTGAAAATCCTGACCAAACAGAAACACCTGAACAATTAGAAACTCCTGAACCAACTGACTTTCTGAAAACTGTAGTTGATTTTGAATCCCTACAATTTCTGAAAAATAAAACCTACAAAAAGGTTGTTCCCAAACCTATCCAACCAGATGTAAATGTCTGTTTTCAGAATTTTATAACAGAAGTACAAGCTTGGATAGACCTGCTGAAGGCATACTGCACTAGCAACGTGAACCCAGCAACAACAGATCTTCTGTGGGAAACGTTCAGACGAGCATTAGATGATGAATCACTGAAATTGCAAGACATGTGTCATTCTCAGGTGCTTGAAAATTTCTCCAAACATCTGCATGCCTTCCAATCAGAAGTTGTTGATACTTAGGACAATAAGTCTACTCTGCTGATTGCCAATGCTCCTGCTGATCAAATGGACATTTCAGAATATGAGTCTGAAGATGCCTCTGAAGATTCAAATCCTCTGGCAATAACTCTGTTTAATCAACCTTCTGCTAAAGCTGCACCAGAAGGTGTGCCAACTCTTATGGTTGATTTGGGCAATCTTCTCTCAAATGTTGTCCGTTCTGACTCAGCTGCTTCTACACCAAAGGTTATATCTACTGAAGCTACTTCATCTTCTGCTCCTACTTCACTGGTTATGGATACTCTGAATGAGCTTAAGAAGAAAAATGAAGCTATTCATGAGCGCTTGGACAAGCAGGATGAGACAAACAAGGAAATCAGAAACTGGATGATAAAGCAAGAGGGATCTTCATCTGAAATCAAGAATCTTCTTTTGTCTCTTGTTTCGAGAAAATCTTAAGTGTCATTATGTTTCTAGGTTTTTGTTTTGTTTTGTACCTCTGAATCTTTTTATAAAAACCTTTTACGCTCTTTAATTCTTTTTATACTTTTTGATTATGACAAAAAGGGGGAGAAAATGAGTATTTTGATCTAATCTTTGATTAACAGTTATGGGACTAAGTCTCAAACATTACTAACAAAATACAAAGATTTCCTTCTATGTTTAAAGAATTTTGCAGGTATCACTAAACTCTGGAAGTTTAATCATATGAACATCATCTTCAAAAGACTTACTGAAGAAATCCTAAAATAAAAATCTCAAAGCTCTGAAGAAAAATCTCAGGAAGTTTTTATTATACATCTATTTTTTTTTCAAAAATAAATAAATATTTATTTCAGGGGGAGATTCTTATCTCTTGTTCAATTTTTTTTCAAAACCTGAATATTTTTGTCATCATAAAAAGGGGGAGATTGTTAGAACAAGTTTGGTTATGATCATATCTCAGAGTTTTGATGATAACAATAAATATATTTTGTATAATTGATACTCTGATGAGCATATTTCTTTGTTTCAGATAATGTTCTGACTGAAGTATTTTCTAAGGTGAAAATCATTTTACATGCTGAGCTGAATAAGAATGAAGAAGTTCTTTGATGAAAGAACTATTTACTTAGCGCAAGTTCTGACGCTGGCTCTGATAAGAAGCAATTTAAAGCATCCTCTAATCTTAGCAAGTTTCCATGCAAACTCTATTCAGAAGTATTTTGCAAGCAAGCTCTGATGAGAAGTTATTTGCAAGCAAATTCTGAAGCAAGATCTGAAGCAAGTTTTGAAAGATTAAAGAAGCAAACAGTCTTGTCAAGTTTCAGAAAACAAGCTCTGACAATTCCGTTTGTTCATTTAATGCAAAGACGGCTAAAGCACTCAAGTGTCTCTACGCTAGTTCATTGAAAAAAACAATAATACAAGCTAACACGCAAACATTAATTGTTCCTCACTTTTGAAGGAAGTAACGGTCGTTTTCCTCATGCTATAAATAGAAGATCATTTATTGCAAGCCAACCACCAAAAAAATCAACAAAAAAAAAACATCTTACGTGAAAATTATTCTGCTGCTCACAAATTATTTTCTTAGAATCACTTTGTTATTTTCTCAAGTGCAAAACTTATCTTAGTGATAAATCACAGTTTGTGATATATCTTTCTAAGAAGCAATTTGTTTCACTATTATAAATATTTAATTCTTGTATTTGTTCCTTGAGAGACCAAGCTTGGTCAGATTTCTCAAGAAGGCTAGGACTAGTTTGAGTCTTAGTGGTGTTAGTCACTTGTAAGTTTACTTGTGCTTTGTATTGTTAGTCACAACAGTTTGGTTGTGTGATTGTAATCTGTTTGATTATAGTGAATTAAGTCCTTATTGAGAAAGGCGAAATCACCTTGGCGGGTGGACTGGAGTAGTTTGAGTTCAAACGAACCAAGATAAAAATAACTGTGTCTTTCCATAATTGTTGAGCTAGTAAGAAAAATAAAAAGGAAAAACTTATTCAACTCCCCCTTCTAAATGTTTTCTCACCCTTCAGTCCATACCTATGATGCCATAACCAATTCTTGTCTTCTTCTGCAGTCGAAGCAAGACATTTGTGATCTGTTGTGTTGAGTTCAACCTTGAATGTTTTGTTCTCCGCCAATGGTGCTTTCATGATTAGCGTCCCATCAACCCTATATACCTTCATCTGATTATTCTCCACTTCAAATTGAAACCTTTTGCAAGTAATTGACCTACACTTATCAAGTTACTTGTCCTCAAAGGTACATACAGAACTTTATTGATAGTTTTTTGACCATCCTTTCTGATAATCGAAATATCTCCTTTACCACCTGACTTGATATGCCTGCCATCTGCAAACTTTATCACCTTTTCGACTGACTCATCTAACTTGGTAAACCAATTTTTATTTCCAGTCATGTGGTTGCTACATCCTGAACCTAGATACCACATGTTGTTTTTCTCAGTGTTCGATTGAGTGTTCACCAGCAACAACACATCATCAGAATCACTACTTCCAGCTCGTGCATATTGAGCTTCATCACTATCTTTCGACTTTGCAACTTTCCTTCTTTGACAGTCTCTAGCATAGTGGCCAAAACCTTAATAGTTGTAACATTGCACCTCTTTTATGTCAACTTTATTCCCAGAATACTTGTTGCCCACACCTTTCGAATCAGTATTCTTGCTTGACTTCTCATCACCAGCAAGATTCTTTCGCTGCTTCAATTTCTCTTTTCCAACTTTCTTGTTGAATCTTAATTGTAATGCTTGTTCAATTGCATTCTCCCTTTCTGGGTTTCTTTGCTGCAGCCTCATTTCATGAGCCTCAAAAAAAGCTTGAAGTTCTTCCAAATTCATCTCAGATAGATTCTCGGCCTCTTCGATTGTTACAACAAAGTAATCAAAATCTACAATTAGAGATCTCAATACCTTTTCTATCTTTTGCAGATCCGTTAGTGCTTCACCACACGCCTTCATCTGGTTTGTTAGCGCCACAACTCTTAAGAAAAATGCAGAAACTGATTCATCCTTTTTCATCTGCAGCATCTCATACTGCTTCCTCAAAGTCTGCAACTTCACTTTCTTCAATTTCTCATCTCCGCCATACAAGGACTTCAGCTTTTCCCAAGCTCCTTTTGTTATTTCTTCTTCGATTATCTTTTCAAACACATCACAATCCACACACTGGTGAATCAAGAACAGCGTCTTGCCATCTTTCTTCCTCTGATCTTTGTGTGCAGCTTTCTGGACTTCCGTTGCATCTACCTCCAGTTATGATATTCCATCATTCAAGATTTCTACAACATCTTGAAATCTGAAAATAACCTTCATTTGTGCCATCCGTCGTAGATAGTTTTCACCTTTGAAAACTGGTAGATTTGTTGGAAATTGTGTTGATGTTGTTGATTTGTTTGCCATTAGATTCTCTCTGAATCTCAAACAAGCTCTTGATACCAATTTATTGGAACAAAGGATTCAAGAAAGATGAATATGTGAAAAACAAGAAGAAGAAGAAGAAGAAGAAGAAGAAGAAGAAGAAGAGAGAGAGAGAGAGAGAGAGAGAGAGAGAGAGAGAGAGAGAGAGAGAGAGAGAGAGAGAGAATGATTTTGAGTTAGTTGATTTAACTAACTTCTAACTGAATCTGTTATTATTGTTGCAACTGCTTGCTTGTATTATTACAAATACAATGGCCCTTTATATAGGCAAAGTAGCCCAGGCCCAAAATGCTAAAAGCCCAAACATAACAAAAATTAACCAACTAACAATTAAATATTTTGATCAGTAATTTCATGTCAAAAGAATTTAGGACGACCATAGATCTTTCAAATATCGTTGTTATTAGCTCTAAAAATTTGATACATTGATCTGACCTATGCTTTTCAAGCTTGTTATGACAACATCAACAACCACAATTATACATCGCCTCAAGTCCATTGCATTCATTCTAGCATCAACTAACTTGCACCTTTCCACAAATATTGCCTGGGTAAAAACTGTAGCACAAGTGGTTCCTGCCAAAATTTAAACCACTCAATATCATAACAATGATTATTGGTCAAATCCAAATTCAAGTAAGTGCAATAAGCAATAAAGTCAAATTGCAAAGACCAGGTAAAACTGTTGACAATCATAACAAAGTTATTTTAATAAACAATACATGTTTGACGTATCACATTGTTCAAACATGCATTTGATAATAGTAATTTGATTCAAAACTTCACTCACACAATCTTGTATTTCTAATATGTAAATTTGCACTAAAAAAATAAAACAAATAATCAGTACAAAAAACTAAAACATCAACTTCCAGGAACAAAATTAAGAGATTTTCCTAAACAAACTTCAATCACTTTGAAAAACAATGGCATATCCATTCTTGTTCCATGTCTGACCAATGAGGTTGTTTAATGCAGCGTATTTTCCAACACCCTGATTCATCACCATCACAATCGCATTCATTCATTGGATTCAAAACAATTGCATATTTCAATAACATGAAAGTGGATCAAATAAAATTTTCTTACGACATTGTTGAGACCAATGACATTTCGGAAAATGGAAGTGCATTTGGATTCTTTGATGTCTTTGTCGGCAAGGAGAGCGGCAGCTTGGCGCATGGACTCGAAGAGCTGAACCAATTCCATATTTTTTTTTAGGAACGACCTCTGCATTCAAATGTCGAGTTTGAATCAGGTAAGACTTAAACACGCCACAATACTTCGAAGATAAGATATTAAAGCAAATCACAGTTCTATGAAAAGAAACAAACTTAGTTCAAGTCACTCACTTATTCTGAAGGATAGTGAGCTGGAGTATAGCTAGCTCAAAAGAAAACAATTGTAAATGCTTGTCCATCCCCTGAAAGTTCCAAATACCACCATAATTGCAAAATTCCAAGTTAGGTACTTATGGAGACATGAAAACACTATTGAAGAAAAAGACAATCCAAGATAGAAAATTCAAATGGATACATAAAATTTCTCGAGGGTAGTAGTGCTACAACAAATGTTAACTGAGAGAATTACTATTCAATTAGAATGTAGACAGACAAAAATATTATAAAAGGAAAAATAAATCACAATGAAATCAACAAACTTTTCAATTCCACTAAATTAAAACCATTAATATAACAGTTAATTCCATGAAACCTGATTAGGCATCACTTTAAACCGTAGAGAAGTAGAGAGGTCATGTAATAAAAAAACTGCTAAAACGGTGATTTCCATAATCAGTTGGAAGCCATAGCTCGTTGGTCTGCTTTTGCATATTTTCTCTAAATTTCCATTTAAATCAAGATGAAAACTACAAAATCATATTAATATCAATATGTCTAATTGGTTTGAAAAAGAAAAGAAAAAATGGGTTTCCTGTACATAATAAAAACACCAGGAAGTTGCACACACATATTTTTTAAACACATTGGAATAGTGGATATTTGTAGTGGGTGTGACTATCTGATAGATAACAAAGTGAGAAGATTTATATCTTAGCGACGCACAACTTAGCTTTCACTTTAAAAGAACCAAGATAGTGAATTGCAGATGGATTAACCTAAGCAGAATAAACAAAAATCAATAATCAGTGCTTCAGTTAAATGCATTTGAATAAATGATAATGAATTGCAGATGGATTAGTTAAAAGCTTGCAAAAATTATTTTATAATAACAATAGAAGAACATAAATCAGAATTGTTACAGAAGTCAAATACTAACCCATTTTTAAAAGCTTGCTCCTAATCAATGGCTTAAGTAAGTGTTTCACAAAGTTGAGAAGTACGCCAACTTACTTGCTTGTTGTTTAAAACATTGAATTAGAATCAATAACTTGATGAGAAGGATGTCAGTGCTCCGTCTTTCCTATTTCTAATTGATTTACCACACTGCAAATAGAATTAAAGATTAGAAACTTTAAGGAGACTCAAAACCAAATATAAACAGAAGAAACTTTAAGGATAGCTTAGCTCAAAACCTAATTTCTAATGACATATCAGATGAAGAGGAAGAAGGAAGATGAAGAAGAAAGCAATCGATATATATAGAGAGAAAAACAAATGATGACAGTAAAGTTAATTGTTTGAGTTGAGAAAGCAAACAATTTATCTTGGACTCGAAAGAATTTGAACATGTTAGCTTGAAGAAACCAAATGTGTTCATTTTCTATTACATTTATATTTAATATATATAAAGGAACTTTGCAAATGAGAATTAGATACATGTAACGTGAAATTCAGACTGGACTCGTGCGATAACACAATTTTTTTATTAGTTTTATCCAAAAATATGGGATTGACCGATCAGAGTAAATGATATTTTCGGAAATTGAAAAACAATTTAAATTTGTTGACAAAAGACAGAAATTGTCTTTCAATAAATTAATTTTATATGCAAATAAATCAGGAGTGTTGTTGAAAATTTCAAAATATATTATTTTCTTATATCATATATATTTAAAAGTTAAATGATCATTGTCTCTCTCCTAAAGTAACTACATGTAGCTTACTAATCTAATGATGACAATGCTATGCACTGAATATTCAATTGAGTATAATAATACGTCTGAAACTTATTTTACTGTTTTTCTTAAAAAAACTGGAAACAAAATAAAATAATAAAATAAAAACACTGAAAATAAATTAACAATAAAATATAATATAAAAATAAAGGATAACATAATAATTAAGAAAACTCAAATAAAAATTCGGAGTCAATTTAATCCACCTCTACACTTTATCCACTTACCATTCTTTAAATTAGATATGGAAAGAGAAAAATAGTGATTTTATAGTAAAAAGTTGCGGGCATTGAAAATGAAATATAATAATTTAAAATTTAGTTTGATAATTAAATCATTGAACTAGATTCATAAACCAAATAAGTTGAATATAAGTTAAAAGTTAAGCACGTTAATTAAATGAGCCGAACTTGAACTATACGTAGTTTGACTCGTTAGGTTCATGAGTGAACTCGATTATATATGAAAAAAATTATTTTGTCTTTAAAAATAAGTTTAAAGTTTTCTCCCAATTTTAGTCCTATATTTTCTTTTAATGTAACGGTTTTTATTGATAATTTATATTCTGAAGTGAGCAAAATATTTTTAAAAATAATTATACAAATAGAATCTACATCGTATAAATCTCAATCTTATAATTTTTATTTTTACTTCTATATTTTTTATTTCAAAATATATTAATTTATAATGTCAAATATATAAAAATAATAGAATTTAAAAAATAACTTTTAAGTCCATGAAACAAACGAATTGAGTCTAATTGTTAGTGTGTGGGACACTTTTAGTGATGAGAGAAAGAGAAAATAACAAAGAAATAAGAATTCTATTATTCACTTAATGAATTGTACAAAATAAGGATAAATATTATGACTATTTATATACAACCTTAATTGGGCTTGGACTAACACAACTTGGATTATATTTAAATATTAAATCTAATCAAATCTAATCTAATCTATTTTAATATTTCAACACACCCCCATAATCCAAGTTGTCGAACCTACACTAGTCACATTCGATCTGAACTATTCATAATTTCTTTCTCAAATTCAGGAATCTGTCGATCTTCAATCCTTTGGTGAGAATGACGGCCAACTGTGCTTCACTTGAGCAATGCCTAAGTTCAAGTTCGCCTCGATTTACCTTTTCCCTCAAGAAGTGAAACCTAACTTTGACGTGTTTACTTCTTCTATGCAGAACTGGATTCTTCACCAGATTTATAAATGACTTGTTGTCGATTTCCAAGACTAGAGGTTTCTTCACTTCGACCTTCATTTCTACAAGTACAAATCTGATCCAAATTGCTTGATATGCAGCATAGGATCCTGCTATATATTCAGCTTCACACGATGACAGTGCCACCACAGGTTACTTCTTTGAACACCATGAGATTGGGGCACCAAATACTTGAAATAAATATCCATTTGTACTTCTTCGATCTTCCTTATCTCCACACCAATCAGCATCTGAAAAAGCAATTAACTATTGCTTCTTTGTCTTCAGAATCTCGTCGAAATAGTATTTTATAGTTTATCGAACCCTTCAAATATCTCAAGATTCTTCTTGCAACCTTCATATGTTACACTCTTGGTTCACTCATATATCTTCTTACTAATCTGACAACAAAACCTATATCAGGTCGACTGTTGCACACATATCTCAGAGATCCCACGATTTGCTTGAACAAAGTTACATCGACTTTGTCTTTCTCTTAATTCTTCTCCAACTTCATATTTGGTTCGACAGGCAAGGATGCAAGATCCGAATCATCCATTCTGAATCTCTTGAGTATCTCTTTGAAATACTTTCTTTGACGTAGCACTATACCTTGCTTCGACATTTGAAATTCCATGCCTACGAAATAAGACAATTTTCCCAGATCTGACATTTCAAATTTCTTCATCGTCAACTCTTTGAATTTCGAGAAGTTCTCCACATTGTTTCCAGTTACTAGAAAGTCATCAACATATAAGCATATGATTGTTATATCTTGTGCTACAACCTGAACATAGACACCATACTCATATTTTCATTTGACAAATCCCAATTCGAATAAGTATGAGTTGATCTTCTTGTTCCATGCCCTAGGAGCCTACTTGAGGCCATAGAGAGCTTTGCGCAAATTATAAACTTTACGCGCTTCCTTCTGAATCATAAACCCTAGAGTTTGTGTGACATAAACCTCTTCGTCTAAAGGACCATTCATAAATGTTGATTTCACATCTAAATGAAATATCGACCAACCTTGGTTGCATGTCAAAGCTACCACTAGTCGAGTTGTCTCCAATCTTGCTACTGGAGAAAATACTTCAGAGCAGTCAAGTTCTTCTCGTTGAAGAAACCCTCGAACTACTAATCTTTCTTTATGCCTTGCTATCGAACCATCAACATTGTGTTTCAACTTGAATAGACATTTCACTTTGATAGCTTTTGTATGTGTTGGAAATTCGACTAACTTCCATGTATTGTTTCTTTCGATTGTCTGTAACTCTTCAGCCATAGCTAACTTCCACTGTTTAACCTTCAAAGCTTCGTTATGGTTGATTGGTTCAACACCAGCAAGTAAACAAAAATGAACTAATTCTACATCTGGTGTGACTTCATTATCACCTACTACCTCATAATCATGAAGTGTTGTTGGAAGAACTCTATTTCTTTGAAGTCTTTGGCTTGTTTCAGCCACAACCTTTTCAACTTCGGTTGTTTATGAAATGTCAGCAACTACTTCTAATTCAACTTCGACTAGATTCTCATCAATTCCTTCGACTTTGACTTCATTAATATCTTCGTCAAAATCTGAGCTCATCAATGGATTGTTAATTGAATTACTAGAATTCTAATCCCAGGTAGAATTTTCATCAATGCTGAAGCGGTAAAACAGCAAGCAAAAAGTAATTTATTAATTTACCAGGTGATATAGGTTATATTGTATCGTGTCCACAAAGATTGGTTATTGAATCTCCGTTCGACAAATCATTTGTTAATGAGTTTGGGGTTTGAATGGGTTGGTAGTATAGAAAAGTATCAATAGAAAATAAATGTAAACAAAAGTAAAAGCTAAGGAAGAACTTTATCAAGCCAGTATATAATCTACTCATCACAGACTTAAATCTATCGATAATTACACTTAACCTAACAATACTCATCAATGTCACCATGTATCACTCACAACCTAAGTCATTTCTAACCCAAATTGAGAGACCAACCGTATCACCAAGGAAGTGATCTCTCTACCACCTCAATAACACAGAAGACGATTATGTTAATCACACTGACAATCACTAACACAACACAACCAACACAGAGGCATTAAGTTCTAATACCCGGAGTGAATTTCAGCTCTAAATCTATATCTAGAGTTCGGAAACTAACATATAATCATCCTAAATAAGAATCTAAGCAGTATATGTCTATAACAATTCAAATCCCTAACACAAAATAAAAATTTAGGACAACAATCGACATAGATGAATAAAGGAAGTTTTATATAACGCCATAGATGACAAATATACATGAGTTCAAAGTAAATACATATACAAACCCAACACAAGAGAAATACATAGAGAGGATAAGAGATAAACCATAAATCTTTCGGTCAGAGTCGGTCAATGAGAAATCCACCTCCAATCATTCATAAGAAAAGCCCTAGTGTTGTTATCTAAGCTAATCCACTATAAAAATGAGGTTGATGGAGTTGGGAGATCAAAAAATCACCCCCAAAACAATAACTCTCCAAATGAAAAGAAAAGGAAAATATAAGGAAATTATGTTCCGCGAAAACCGCCCGACGATACTGATAACGCAATTTTATATAGTATATTTGATTTAATTTTCATAGGTAATGTTAGTATTTTTATTTAATTATTTCATTTTATTTCCATATTACGCCGGTATTTTTATTGTTTCAGGTATTTCATTTTATTTAGACAAATTGAGCAAAGTGAAGAAATTGAGAGAGTTATTGGACTAAGTGTGCAAGAAATGAAGAAAAGGGGTGTGCAAAGCAATAATGATGGATCAAAAAGGGTCTATTATCTCCAAACGGGCCCAAACGAATTCAGACCCACGCAAGCAAGAAAACCCTAAAAGCACATGCAAGAGTGAGACGCACGTCTCAACTCTTCTCCTACAATTGAGGCGCCCGCCTCGGACTTTCCCCTTAGTGGGAGGCGCCCGTCTCAACGTGGTCAATTGAGAACAAGTCAATTGAGGCGCCCGCCTCAACGTGGGCAAGTAAAAACGAGAAATTAAAGGATAAGTGGGACAAAAATATCTCAAGAGGTGGTTACGTTGGACGACTATAAGAGGACATTAGGAAATGAAAATTGGGACCGTTTTTGCTTAGATTTTTTCCAGTTTTCAGAATTTGTACTTTCATCGCATTTACTAGTTTCCATTGTAATTCAATTCCTAGTAGTTATTTTTCCAGCCAGCTTCTTTTCCTTTTCGAATACTTAGAATTAATTTCCGTTGAAGAACCGGGATTCTGTACGGATTGATTCAAGCTTCAAGGATTGTTCCCAGCATTTATTTAATTCAGGTTCCTTATTTACATCGCTTTAATTAATTATTTGCATGAGATATTTATTTAGCCATGAATTTATTTATGAATGTTAATTCCTTTAATGTATCCATGTCTGTT